AAATTGATCAACCCTGAAGACATTATTTCCTCTCTTTCAGAGGACAAATTGCTTATAATAAAGAAAGGGAGGTTGTCAATTTTCAAAAATCCATAAAAATTGGACTCACATTGTGGTTTTGTGCTTCTTAAAAAAAATAATACAACTAATTCCTTTCTGACACCATTTTTGCACTTCATGAGAAATTCTAAATTTTTTTCAATACGTGAAAGGAAAGATTACATATTATTCATACAATAGGAGTTCTTAACAAGTATTACATAAAAATGTAGAGGACAAAAGAAAAATAATATGCAATCAATTAATCAAAAGCAAGTAAAATTTAATGAGGAGAACATTTACTTGTTTAAGCAACCACCACAAGAAAAAACCTCACAACATATTTTTCCAATTTGTGACTTGTAAAAACAAAAGTCAAACAAAGATACAACTATATGGCTCAACTGGATTCAATTTTCTTCCCCTTCAATTTTTCAAAAAGACAAACATCAAGAAGATTAGTTCCTCCTTATCTTTCACCATTAGGATACATCCTGCACAAAAAAAAGGAAATGAATATTCTACATTGGTTACCAACAATGACCCCATAGTAAGTGTTTGCCTTATCACCAAACTCCTTGAACGCATTTTATCGAACGCCTTATGTGCCCTAGTTGATCGGTGGTGTTGGATTGGGGTTTAATTGGCAAGGGTTTTGGTGTGACAATGGTCGGTGGCAGTGAGGCTTGGGTTGTGGTGGTGGTGGATGAAAGAAACAAGGCAGCAGAAATTGTGGTGGGGCTGTGGTGATAGCTTTGGTTGATGGTTGGGATGGGAAGGGATGGTCGGGGTGTTGTAGAATAGAAAGAGGGAAAGAAAGATAAAGTTACCTGAGAGAGAACAACACCTTTGTTTCCATCGCTGGTCATTAATGTCCATGCTCGTTGCCATCCTAGCTGATCGGGGGAGAGAGTTTTAGGATTTTCAGGGTGAGTAGAGAGAGTAAACAAGGGGGAGAGCCAGAGTGACCAAGAGCAGAGGCGGAGGCAGAAAATTATGCCAGGGTGAGTGCAAATATTTTAACAAACTAAATTTTTTTCCTTACAAGTAATCGAAATAGGATAATAATTTATATTTAGTTACATCCTATTTAATACTTGAAAGTTTATTAAACCTAATAGACCAAAAATTGATAAGCCTAGTATATACAAACGCCAACAATAAAAAATTCTTTTACAAAATATAGACTAATTCAAATCATTTAAAATTGTCTTCAGTGAATTTTCATACTTTGAAATTGTTGCATAACAACTTTATTATTTTTTATATACATAATCATGCTATTATTTAGTTATTTATCACTCATTCAATTATGCAGTTCAATATACACTCTATAATGTCTACCGTAATTAGTAAAATAAATGTCAAAATCATAAGTAAACTAGCTAATATGTATATCATGTATTTTCTAATCTTAGAAAGTATAAAATGATTCTAGTGTATTCAAAATTTATTTAGATAGATACACAACATGTTTAAAATGTGACAAAAAAATCATATTCATTTGATATAAATGTATACTAATTGATGTCTCAAAAAATAGGGTGGGCATAATTAAAAATACTTAAAAACAATTGAGGGTGGGCATGTGCCCCCCTTGGGCATATTTTGGCTTCATCCATGACTAAGAGAGACATGATTGCTTGTGCCAATTAATACATGAACTAAAGAGTGGTCTTTTGGCTTTCTAAGGAAACTAACTCAGACTTAATAGAATATGAGAGGTTAAGGATACAAGTAGAATTATTTTAACCATTACTGCTAATTTATTTCTCTTAATTTGATATTTAATATAATACCACAATAACTAAGGATGTCAATGAACCGAAGCGGGGGCGGGGGGTGTAGTCTCCATCTCTGTACCCACTTAAAAAAATTTCGTTCATCCCCCATCTCTGTCCGCAGGTAAATTTATAATCCCCGCCCCCGCCCGTTCCCCCATCTACACATTCGCCCCCACCCCCTATCCACCTTACCCGCCCCTGCCCAAGCCCAAGCCCAAGCTCAAGTCAACATAATCTAAAATTGTAAATAAATCTAACATTCTAAATAATCCAACATAATTAAAAAATATCCTAACATAATTAAAAACTTGTCATTTACAACATAATCCAACATAATATAATTAAAACATTGTCTACAATATAATCCAACATAACATAATTAAAAGCTTGTCTCTCATCCAACACAACATCATGCAACACAACATAATGTAACATAAAAAAAAACATAAAAACACAAAGATCTACACTTTTACAAGCCAAAAACATGAAAAAAAAAATCAAAAAAACAAAACAATTTCCAAAAGAAAAGATCATTCAACAATAATATGCAGATTTGTATTTACAGCAACATATATATATATAATAACGAGTAAGGCAAAGCGAAGCAGCGCAGGAACGGGTGGGGTGGGGGTAAGTGTTAGTCCATCCCTGCCTTCATCCTCATACGGGTTTATACAGGTATCCTCGTATATGTTTACTGTTCAATATGCATAGTCCATCCCTAGTCCAAACAGAGTAGGTTTGGTTGAATAATCATTTTTACCCGATCCACTGTCATCACTAACAATAACTATTATATCACTACAAATCTGACATATATACATTTTTTAGTTTATACAATTATTTGGAGGTATTTATGATAATTAAAATTAATTGATCTAGTAGCTTTTTAGAAATAGTATATAATAGATTTATTTGTATAATTTGTGAGGTCTGACTTGTTTTTTGTATAAGTTGTCTTTCCAATTGTCAAAATAATTACAAAGGATGAAAATATATATATGCATCAATGGAACTCAATAGGGACAAAATTGAATGAGAGAGCATATGGAATAAATCCAAACGTAACTTCTATATTTAATGTTTGTAGAACATTTATTTGCCAATGAAGAAGGGAAATAGGGGAAGGAGAAGAGGCAATCCAAGTAGGTAGAGGTGATGATTTAGGTTTACTATGACATTAATTTTAAAGAGTAAACATGGCATAATTATAACTTTGGTGGGTAAAAGTGAAAAAATAAAATTTGTATATATACTGATATTTTAAATTAGTATAGATAAATATAAATATAGTTATAAATAGAAATCTAGATATAAACATATAAAAAGTTCACATAACTTTTCTTTTGGTGCAAGTAGTATAACGAAATTTCTTTTATATTTCACCCAATTTTTTGCTCTTATTGGAATCTCTATTACCTACCAACAATTTTTGCTTTTTCATTGGTCGGTAAAAAATGTGCTTTCATAGGTCGTAAAAGACTCTCCCCTAAGCTAGTGTGGAGCTTTCTCTCTCCCCTTAATGGCGACTATCATGTGAAGGTACCCATCCTTCTTTTTTCATTCAGCATCTTTCTGATCCCCTTTCTATTCTTCTTCTACTATTATTCTCTTTCAACCAACCATCTAGATACCATTGTTACATCAATCCCAACACTCCATTAATACACCTTTGGCGTATCTCCCACATCAGAAATGACCTAAGAAAGAAACCCCTCGTAACCTCTACCCTATTACTTCTGTCACACACAATCACATACCAAATAGCTATCAAGGAACATTTTCCCAAGCCAGACTGAAGAACCGTCACAGGCCCAGATTGACTATCTCCTCACAGAGTCGAAACCTCCATGGAATCCCTAGAAGACCATTGTGTGAGGTCTCCTTCCCCCATACCCTCTATCTAGGAAAACCTAGAACCCTAACCACATGATAATGAGGCACCAACAATAAACCTCCTTCCAGACCATCCCATCTCAAGCTTCATAATACAGTCATGCCTAGTGGGGAAAGTAATCACAGATAAACCTCTAAATCGATGAGTGGTGAAAGACCTTGTAATCAGAGCATGAAGAGGAGAAAATTAGGTGGAAATAAGGGATGGAGATGATGAAACCTTCATATTTGTCTTCTCCAAGGACTCTCTGAAGAGAAGGGTAGAGAAATTGTCCCCTTGGTCCATTAAAGGTAAAATTCTGGTCCTAAAGGAATGGGAGCCAGGCACACTAATCTTGGAAATGTCTTTTACATCTTCTCCGTTTTGGGTCCAAGCTCATGGGCTCCCACCGAAATTAATCACTGAAGAAAATGCAAGCAGAATAGCAAAAGAGTTAAGGAATTTTCCTTCAACTGGCAATAGATTGACCCAAAGGAATGTTTGAAAAAACTACATCTGAACAAGGGTTCAGGTGGATCTCACAAAACCCTTAACCACCCATTTTTGGCTACCTAGAGGAGATTTGCCTACTAGGAAAGGTATAAGAGACTTGGTGATTTTTGTTATGGATGTGACAAAACCGGCCATGAAAATACAATTTGTGGGAAGAAGAAAGCCACTAGAGAAGAACAAGTGTTTGGACCTCATCTTAGAGCAAACCAATTGAGGAAGAACTATGCACAAGCCCCATCAAAAAAATGAGCGGCATCAGAAAACCAATCACCCATCCAGCCAACGATGCCACGTGTGATTGCACGTGATAAAGAGGCATTAGGGAGCACAAATGACAGCCATCTGCAAGGTGGAGTTGTAGAGCAGCGGTTATACGAGGTTTGGGCATAGTGCAATGCAGTGCAAACAACATCCAGTACATGTGGCAACATCATCCTAGCAGACACGATAGTGGAATTGCTACAAATGAAGGTACTANTCGAGTTATAGAGCAGCGGTTATACGAGGTTTGGGCATAGTGCAATGCAGTGCAAACAACATCCAGTACACGTGGCAACATCATCCTAGCAGACACGATAGTGGAATTGCTACAAATGAAGGTACTACACCTGAACCCCTACAAGCCCATCACATTACCAGCCCACAAACCCAAAAATGAATCATTCTCTAGCCTAGTTACACCTAAGCACAGTTCAGAGGCCCAATACCCAATAGTAACCAAAGCCCAAGAACCTTTTCAAATGGACCCAAAGCCTAAAACAACCAAGGAACCAACAACCCATAACAAAATGACAAATGACCCAAAGAACCCCAAACCCAATTCAGGGAATCTAGACCCACCATGGAAACAAACCTATGAAACTGACCCATTAGATCCAAAGCCTAAAGCAGCCAAAAACCCAATAGCCCAGAACCTAAGGCAAAACCTGAGAGAAGATATAAACCCAACCCACAACATAAACTGCACCATAGGCCTGACGGAGTCAAAACCATCTTGCATGACAGACCTTTCAACACAAGCCATAACCACCCAACTGCCTTTCCATCAGGAGTTCCTTCTAAGTAGGGAGGATTTGCGCCAACCGGTAGTCGGTCAGATCAATCAAATTCTTGATATCTGCATGGCAAAAGTGTTTCATAGAATGTCCCTAAAACTAACTATTCAGGGAGATAGTGATGAAAGAAGGGCTTTCAAAACCCAGAGGCAAGAGGATGGGTTTATCAAGGTGTTACCTACCAATCCAAGGGTAGAGGATGAAGACACTAAGCATTCAGATGGTAGCATAATCTTAGTGGGAGAGTTGGAAGATTTTGCGGAGAACATGAGTGTAGGTGTTGCAAGGCCCAACCAACTGAAGGAGGGTGGGCTTGGAGGGACTTTATTAGTTAGCTATTCTAGACGTAGACTGAAGAGAAGTATCAAGAGAAAAGTAGGAAATTCAAATACAAGAAAGGACCAGGAGGATTTACAAGAGGTCACAGTTGAATGGTCTGAAGAAATCACTAAGATAGCTAAGGAGACGGGCCTTACCATGCCCCCACCCTATCCATGAAAATCATTGCCTGGAACTATCAAGGGTTGGGGACTCCCTTGACAGTTTTGGCCCTAAAGGACCTTTGTGTCCTTCATAAGCCCCAGGTATTGTGTATTAGTGAAACAAAGTTAAGAAGTCATAGAATTGAATGACTTAAAATGGAATTGCAGTTTGATAACAAGGTGGTGGCTAATCCAAATGGTATGTCGGGAGGAATTTGTATGACGTGGAAGAAAGTAGTGGGTATTACTATCACTGCCAACAGTAGTAATCAAATTGATGCTACAATCATAAGGAAAGACATTGTTGGGAGATGGTGCCTATCCTTCGTGTATGGACACCCTTATTTTGATACTAGATGTGCACAATAGAGGAGCCTTGTGGAGTATAGATGGAGCATAGCATACCCATGGCTCTATATTGGAGATTTCAATGATATTGCTTCTATTACTGAGAAGGAATGAGGAAGGGACAAGAAGAATCAAAAAATAACTTCGTCAATATCATTGATGAAGCCCAACTAATTGATCTGGAAAGCAAGGGATACAGATTTACTTGGGATAACTACAGAGAGGGGACATCGAATGTAAGAGAAAGCTTAGATAGGGCCCTAGCCTACACTGCTTGGAGAGTTACCTTCCCAAATGCTATTGTATATGCTCCACCTACAATAGGTTCAAACCATTCCCCATTTGTTCTTGATCTCAAACCCCCTTATAACAAGGTCAAAAGAAAATTTAGATTTGAAGCCGCTTGGACAAAGGAGGACGAGTGCCAGGAGATTATACAATAAAGTTGGTGCAGGGATGACAAGGGTTCAAAAATGTATTAATTGAGACAGAAACTCAAGAACCGTGCAAGGAAGCTATACAAATGGAGTTCAACAAAATTCAAAAATAATAGGCGACAAATTGAAAGACAAAAAGCTAAGTTAGAGGAGCTGCATAACTCACCAGACTATGTGGAATGTATTGCAGAGGTAATAGGCGTTAAAAGAACAATTGAAAACCGATGGAGGAAAGAAGAAAAGTATTGGGGGCAAAGATCTAGGCTGAAGTGGTTGAAGTGGAGGGATAAAAATACCAGCTTCTTTCATGCCACCACCATACAGAGAAGACAAAGAAACAAGATTGTGATGCTGAAGAACAATGAGTAACAAATCATGACTAGATACTCAGCATTATTGGGGAGCATTTCAGCAACATATTCACTACAGAAGGCAGCAGAAACTACTCACAAATTCTACTACATATCCCCCAAGAGGTCATAGCGAAAATGAATTTGAACCTACTGAGAACTCCTNTAAGATAGCTAAGGAGACGGGCCTTACCATGCCCCCACCCTATCCATGAAAATCATTGCCTGGAACTATCAAGGGTTGGGGACTCCCTTGACAGTTTTGGCCCTAAAGGACCTTTGTGTCCTTCATAAGCCCCAGGTATTGTGTATTAGTGAAACAAAGTTAAGAAGTCATAGAATTGAATGACTTAAAATGGAATTGCAGTTTGATAACAAGGTGGTGGCTAATCCAAATGGTATGTCGGGAGGAATTTGTATGACGTGGAAGAAAGTAGTGGGTATTACTATCACTGCCAACAGTAGTAATCAAATTGATGCTACAATCATAAGGAAAGACAATGTTGGGAGATGGTGCCTATCCTTCGTGTATGGACACCCTTATTTTGATACTAGATGTGCACAATGGAGGAACCTTGTGGAGTATAGATGGAGCATAGCATACCCATGGCTCTATATTGGAGATTTCAATGATATTGCTTCTATTACTAAGAAGGAATGAGGAAGGGACAAGAAGAATCAAAAAATAACTTCGTCAATATCATTGATGAAGCCCAACTAATTGATCTGGAAAGCAAGGGATACAAATTTACTTGGGATAACTACAGAGAGGGGACATCGAATGTAAGAGAAAGCTTAGATAGGGCCCTAGCCTACACTGCTTGGAGAGTTACCTTCCCAAATGCTATTGTATATGCTCCACCTACAATAGGTTCAAACCATTCCCCATTTGTTCTTGATCTCGAACCCCCTTATAACAAGGTCAAAAGAAAATTTAGATTTGAAGCCGCTTGGACAAAGGAGGACGAGTGCCAGGAGATTATACAATAAAGTTGGTGCAGGGATGACAAGGGTTCAAAAATGTATTAATTGAGACAGAAACTCAAGAACCGTGCAAGGAAGCTATACAAATGGAGTTCAACAAAATTCAAAAATAATAGGCGACAAATTGAAAGACAAAAAGCTAAGTTAGAGGAGCTGCATAACTCACCAGACTATGTGGAATGTATTGCAGAGGTAATAGGCGTTAAAAGAACAATTGAAAACCGATGGAGGAAAGAAGAAAAGTATTGGGGGCAAAGATCTAGGCTGAAGTGGTTGAAGTGGAGGGATAAAAATACCAGCTTCTTTCATGCCACCACCATACAGAGAAGACAAAGAAACAAGATTGTGATGCTGAAGAACAATGAGTAACAAATCATGACTAGATACTCAGCATTATTGGGGAGCATTTCAACAACATATTCACTACAGAAGGCAGCAGAAACTACTCACAAATTCTACTACATATCCCCCAAGAGGTCATAGCGAAAATGAATTTGAACCTACTGAGAACTCCTTTTGTAGGGTAAATAAGGAACATTGTTTTCAATATGGGAGCCTTGAAAGCCCCTAGACCAGATAGTCTTTCTGGGATGTTTTTCCAAAAATATTGGGAGGTGATTAAAAAGGAGATAGTGGCAGCAGTCCAGGCATTTTTTCATTCTGGGTTTATGCTAAAGGAATTCAATGAAACCAACATTGTCTTCATTCCTAAAACACAGAATCCTGAAGAGGTGGGAGAGTACAAGCCAATCAGCTGCTGCAATCTAATCTACAAGGTGATCTCAAAGCTACAAGCATCTAGGTTAAAACCCTACATGACCAAACTGTTATCCCAAAAACCAGAGTGCATTTATAGTTGGGAGGCATCTATAAGATAATGTTATAATGGCACAAGAAGCTCTGCATTCTATGAAAGCTAGGAAGAGAACTAGAAAGTACCAGATGGCCCTCAAGCTTGATATGGCAAAGGCATACGATAAAGTGGAATGAGACTTTTTAAGGGACATGCTTCTCAGGATAAGGTTTGATCCCAAGTGGGTGGGCCTAATCATGCAATGCATTACAATTGTAAGGTACAATATTCTTGTAAATGGCAATAGGGGACTAGAATTCATACCATCAAGAGGCCTTAGGCAGGGGGATCCTCTATCCCCTTACCTATTTATATTGGTCACAAAATGCCTATCAAGCCATACAAACACAACAGCTAAAGGGTCTTCAACTTAGCAGGAATGGTCCAACACTTTCCCACTTGTTATTTGTAGACAATTCTATATTTTTCTCTAGTGCAACGAGATCAAATTGTGAATCGCTAGTGGATTGCTTGAGCAGGCACTGTTATGCCCCAGGTCAGCAAATGAATCTGAATAAATCAGTCGTGATGTTTAGCCGAAATACTCCTACCCATGTCCAGCAGGAATGGCTCGGATTCTGAGAGTCCAGATTGCTTAAAGAGCATGGAAATACCTGGGTTTACCTATTGAATGGGGAAGGAGTAAGAAGCAAACCTTGTCGTGGATCAAGGAGAGAATTCAGTCAAAAGTTGTTGTCTGGAAAGGAGGTTTCTCAAGCAGGCAGGTACAGAGACCCTTATTAAAGCAGTGGTACAAGCCATTGCAGCATATACAATGAGCATTTTTAAGTTACCAAAGTCATTAAATCAAGAGATCACCTCATGTATTTCTAGTTTTTAGTGAAGTAAAAGCTTAGGAGATAGGGGAATTCATTGGAAGAGATGGGAGGTCCTAACAAGGAGGAAATGCGAAGGAGGAATGGGATTTAGAGAAATCGAGGAGTTCAACATTGCTTTGTTAGCCAAACAAGCATGGAGATTACAACAAGACCCTAATTCGTTATGGGCTAGGGTCTTGAAGGCGAAATATTACTTGGAAACAAATCTGTGGCATGCCAGACCTAAGGCATCTTGCTCATGGATTTGGAGAAGTCTAATGGAAGGAAGAAACCTTTTGGCTAAGGGCTATATGTGGCAGATTGGGAATGGCAATAAAGTAAAGTGTTGGGAGGGACCCTCGGGTACCAGGGAATCAAAGTTTAGTGAATGAACATCAAAGCAACTGATTCAATTCCCAGCACGGAGATGGAATAAGGATCTAATTAGGGACATACTACCTTCAGAAGTGGTGCCTGATGTTTTGTCTATCTCTCTTAGTGAGTCAAACCAAGAGAACAAATTGGGGTGGCCATTCACAGCTGATGGGAAATATTCTATATGCAGCGGTTATCATCTTCAGATGCAAATCCAAAACCCACAACAAGTTGACAATAGAGCCTCATTCTCATACTCTCCCCCTGAGGGTTTGTGGAAAAGAATTTGGTCCATCAAAGCTCCGCCAAAAATATTGAACTTTGTGTGGAAAGTGGTGAATGGAGCAGTGGCTACAAGAGAAAACTTGTGGAAAAGGAAGATTATTCAGTCTCCTTTATGCCAGATATGCGAGATGGCAGTGGAAATAATTGAACATCTTTTTATACTATGCCCTTGGGTGGGGGATGTATGGAGACAATCACTCCTGGAAATTGAGATTGATATATCAACAATTTCTAGATTTGAGACATGGATCATGGAAGAGATGGGAAAAGGTCAAGAAGGCAACCCTAAAATTGCATACATGCTATGGTTTATTTGGAAAGCCAAAAATAAATGGAGCTTCCAACACAAGTCGTTGAAACCTAAAAGGGTAATAGCCCGAGCTATGATGGAGGTTGAGCAGTTGCTTAAGGTATAGGAAAAGGGCCTGGCACAACAACCACAGACAGCAAGCTTGGAAAAATGGAAAGCACCACCAAAAGGATGGATCAACTTAAACTGTGATGGAGCATTCTCCACAAAGTCAAAGAGAGATGCCTTTGCTGTCGTTGCTCGAGACCATAGAGGATGCCTTGTTACGGGGGTCTCTGGAAAAATGTTTGTAGCGTCCCCCCTTTCTGCTGAAGCATGGGCAGTCGAAGTGCTTGCTCATTGGCAAATGTGGAAGGATTCAACGTAGTTATTATTGAATCGTGCTCAAAGCGCTAATTGACAGCCTCTCAAAAGACACATCGACCACGCTAAAGGACATTGAAATGGTCCAAGAGGATATATGGCAGTACACGAGGACTCTTCCCTCAATTCTATTCCAAGCCGTCAGAAGGAAGGAGAACCAATTGGCTCACCTTATAGCCTCCATGAACAGAAATGGTTCTATCCCTACACACTGGCCTGTTAACCCACCTGGTAGAGTCATACAGCTGGTGAACAAGGAAGCTAGAGAAGGAATTGGGCAGGAAAGATGTTGATGGCTGGATCTTGCTTTGAAGCCAGTTCAAAGTCTTTGTTGTAGTATATGGTATATTTTGTGACAGTGAAACCAGACCAAAAAAAAAAAAAAAAAATTTGGTCGGTAAACCAATTGAACGAAATTTCTCTTCCCTTTTTACCCCTGACAACACATCTTAATAAACCAGCTGCCCTTTTCGTCCAAGTGACGTGACAAAGTCATTGTCTCTCTATCTTTCTCTCTCTCGCACGGAAAACATGGCGTTCTCTGAGAAACTACTCTGTGTCTACCTCTTCTCTATTGTCTTCTTCTTCACCACAATCCTCTCTCTCTCCCTCAGAACCTTCTCCATCTCCGATCCCAACTGTCGATTCGGCTCAACAACAGACGTCCACGACCTCCTCCCACAGTATGGCTTCCCAAAGGGAATTCTCCCGAAAAACATCAAATCCTTTTATCTCTCCTCCACAGACAACTCTTTCACCCTCGAACTAACATATCCATGTTACATACAGTTCGATGAGCTTGTTTACTATGACCGGAATATCAAAGGAAAGTTGACTTATGGGAAAGTATCTGATGTTTCAGGTATTCAAGCCAGAAAACTTTTCATTTGGGTATCTGTAACTGGCATGGATGTTGATGATAAATTGGGTATGATTGAGTTTCATGTTGGAGCTTTATCGGAGAAATTGCCCGCAAAGCAGTTTGAGACTATTCGAGATTGTAAGAACAAAGGGTGCCAAGAGTCTCACCCAGCAGTAGAATCAATATGAGGTAATTTCTTATACATACATACATGTGTGTGTGTGAGTGTGATCTGTGTTTGTTTTCGAATTGTTATCTAAAATATTGGGTTTCATTGGGTGCTGAAAATAAAGAGGTTTGTGGGTTTGACTTCTTTTTTCTCATTCTTTGTGGTTCAAATGCTAATCCTTCCTTAATATGAGCTCTGTTTGGCAGATAGCATCTTGCATAGTTAATGGAGAAATTTGGAGTTAATTATATCTTGTCTACAGACCAAAAATCACTCCTTACTAATCAGGAAAACAAATAAGGTATCTTTGCTGGCGTAGAATGAAATATTTCCTTCAAATTCGGAAAAAAAACTAGTTTTTTTCATACTAATAGTTGTTACCTTAGACGAAAAGATTACCAAAAGAAATGAATTAATTTAATGGTTGACTATTCTGAAATGTTACCTGGATCGGTTTGCTACTTGTACGGGTATATGGTATAACACTTTTTTAAGGTACAGTACGTGGGATAAGTTTAGCTACTACGGTATTGTAGGCCGTAATTCATATTTGAAATTCTTATGCAAATCGTTTTCACTACTATACAATATTATATATAACAGGTCATTCATAAAATCAAAGTTAGTTACCATTTATCTTATAGTTGTACTTTATTTTCTATTATCTAAACCAATATATAATTATANCAGTATTGTAGGCCGTAATTCATATTTGAAATTCTTATGCAAATCATTTTCACTACTATACAATATTATATATTACAGGTCATTCACAAAATCAAAGTTAGTTACCATTTATCTTATAGTTGTACTTTATTTTCTATTATCTAAACCAATATATAATTATAAATCTATATATATGTAGTCAATTAATATGTATTTTATATTTGCACTACATATTCTAAAGCGAATTAATTTAGGGTTAATATTATAATTTGGGATTGTCTATTTTGGTGATCTAGATCGCGAACTCACCTAGTTTGGGATTGATGTATCCAGATCGTGGGTCGTAAAAAATTTAGCGAATTGTGGTAATCATGGTAACTGGAGATTAGTCATTCCCATCATGTGTTGCATAGTTTGTATGACAATTGACAAAGTAGCCCATGGGCAACTTTGCTGTATGTTCACAAAGTTAATGATCATCCTGTGCCTCATTCAAGATGCATCATATAAGATGCAGATGTTTCTGAAATTCTCGTGTTCCTTATATTGAATTGTGGCTGGTCCACAGCATAATGTATATTTGTTACAAAAGACTCGAACATCCCCATAATTCTTTAACATTGGTTCTTCTGTTTTCTCATTTTCTACCGGGCATATCTGATTCATGAATGAAAACTTCAAGTGATTGAACAAATTAGAGTATAAAGCAAGGTCGAACACTTTCTTGTATGGGTTTGTGTAGCTGAAGTCTGGTTGTATAATCCACAACAGAAAATTAAGGATGAGGAGAAAAATTATTTTCTTCTGCATTTGCCACCCAACAAAGTCCAGAAATCATAGAGTTTACATTTTGTTGCATGAATTTAATGTTATTGAGACGTCAGAAATCATTTTCCATAGGGGTTAACAATATTTGGAATTCTGATTCTCTAAATTTGGGCGTTGGAGAAAATGAACTTTGTTCTTTATGAATAACGAATTTGGAAAGGTGTGTTGCAACCCTTAACCCCCAAAAGCATGATCTATGCTTTTGATACAGATTTTACTGACTAATGCTAAGCCAAAGATTGATTACTTAATAAGTGTTATGCCAGAACATATATCAGATAATTCGAACTTGGAAATACACTGAAACATGACTTAATTACCATGGAAGTGTCATAGACCTGACCCTTCTTTTAACCAAGAGTAGTGGAAAAAAGTGTAGTAACTCGTTATTGCCACTTATATTGGTGTGTACTTTCTAATATAATGAATTTTATCTGAATATTGCGTCAATTTAAACTGGTGCCTATACGATGGTCTGTGTACATGACATCATTGTTTGTCGAAGAGCACTTAAAGGGGCCAGAAGCAGGGCATTTGGGAAGTCGTATTATTTCAAATGTGTGATCTTACTTATGCTCAAGGGAATAAATTTACTTGGGTATCAGAAACACTTTTGCTCATCATGAGTTTATCCTTGCTGGTACAGCAGTAAAACTCCCTTTTGAAATACATAGATTAGGCATCTTAACAACTAAACTGAATTTTTATTGTTAGAGCTCTCAAATGAATTTGTATATGGGAATGTTGGACCTTCACTTATATAAGGACTATGGGGGGCCACACATATGCCATACCCCTAATATTGGGCATAGTCCTGTGGAATTTTTGCTGGCTGGTCACTTCCTTTTTCATCTCCTTATGTGTTGGTTGTAGAAATGTAATGACATGTACTTATTAAAATTATTCTTATCTTGATTGTTTGAAATTGAACATACTTTGTTGGTATTCTTGGAAAAATATGGTGAATAACAGGAAAGGTTACACCATGAGGAGGTTCCCCTTATATAAAGCATAGACTACCTGAACAGAGTTCGATTCTGAATTCCAGACCACTATATACATATACAACGAAAATGGGGCTGTAGAAATAGGATTCATGTGATCACTTTATTCAGTTGTTTGTTGTATTATAGTGTTTAACATGTATCCCTTAGCTCTGTTGCAGGTGCTGGCAAGCTTATTATCCCATGATAATAAGCATTCTCTTTGAAGACTTGTATTTCATCAACAATTGGGAGCTCGAAGCACTATCAATTTGTTTGAATTTATACTCGTAAAAAAATTGAGTTTGTATAATTGTGCAGTGATTTAATGAACTACATAATGCAATAGACTGGTCTCAGACATCCATTGTACAATTTCCTATGATGCTGTGCAGACCATTTGAAGATGCTGTATGTTTTGTGTATTCAAAATCTTTCATTTGACATTCATCTATTTTGCAGATTGATGTTGAGGATCAATTTAAAATGAAATTAAGAGGCAATGGGAGAATGAGTCATGCACACAGTTGATTTTCGAGGGTCAACCTCTTTGCTGTAGTAAAGTTTGTTTATTATGACTTGAACGTCACAGGTTTAAGTCACAAAAATAGTCTCTTTGCACACGAGTGTAGGATTTTGTATGTCTAACTTTTTTTAGACTTTGTCGTGGTGGTAGTAATGATTGAAGGAGCGATATAAAATGCAAACCTTAAGGCAAAAATAACTATCAGAGTTGGAATGGAAGTATAAGTTGCACACATAAAAACATGCTGCATTTTAATTATTGTTTTCTTGGAATGCTTCTCTTGCTTCAGCTTAGGCATGCCGTCCTGGAGTGAGGCACTTATTCTGGAATTCAAGTTTGAGGGTTCTCTCTCTAAGGACTCCACAAATTAAGATGCTATAATGGCATAGCCAATAGGTTGTATTCCATTGGAGAATGAATCATAAAAGAGAGTTAGGATGAGTTTGCCTGCTCTACCTGAATAATAAATCCTGAAGATTTTTCCCCTCTGATTTACATCAATAAGTTCTTATACAATTTATAAACGTAGGTATTGGTAGAATTATTAACAATGAGCACAATTTATGTTGGGCTGGTTATTATGAGCCCGATACCCGACCACTTTTTTATGGCTGGCCCCTGGCCATGGCTACTGTTTTCATCTCGTACCTTGCTCGTTTTGTTAATATCCACATGTTTAAGGAAAAAAGATGTAACGATGCTATGTTCGGAATTGCCTACACCCATTAACAAGCATATAGTGCTTTTTTCTCTGCTTGTAATCAAGACCAACCTCGTGCCTCAAAATTAATGATGGGTCCACAAATTTGCAAATCTCCATTATCAGAAGGGTTTTCCAGGGGAAATTGCAGGATGATATTGGAGAGAACAATGACGAGAAGGGTGAACGAGTGAAGGAAAGGAAAGGAAAGTTAGGAGGAGTCAACTAGCGATGCCAGCTTATGAAATATTATGATTTGGAAACGGATTTCCTTCCATGGCCAATTCTTCAAGTTTTAGAGTTCCATTAATGAATCCGGTTGACAAGTCGTACACCTACTATAGAGACCAAGGAGGGAAAGACAGTTTGTTTTGAGGATGAAACATTAAAGGAGGGAGACTTAACATAAGCTTGCAGAAGATTTCATCAGGAACATCCACAACCAGCTGAAAAACAGCAGGAATAGTAAGTCGTTGGAAAATATTTGGGAATAGATTGCTTGGGGACTTGAATTATGTTTTTATGATTCTCGGTTTTAATGCCATATGAAACAATCTCATGACATTTAACCATTATTTGTTTCATGTTTAGTGTCGATCTTTTACACACTCTTGTTCCAACCCTGAGTAAGCGAGGTCCATTTCACTTTGTTCAACCGTTACTTTAGTATTTCTACCTTCCCAGTCACTGACTATCAGTAGTGAACTAATTAAGGATACAATCGCATTCATAANACAATTTATGTTGGGCTGGTTATTATGAGCCCGATACCCGACCACTTTTTTATGGCTGGCCCCTGGCCATGGCTACTGTTTTCATCTCGTACCTTGCTCGTTTTGTTAATATCCACATGTTTAAGGAAAAAAGATGTAACGATGCTATGTTCGGAATTGCCTACACCCATTAACAAGCATATAGTGTTTTTTTCTCTGCTTGTAATCAAGACCAACCTCGTGCCTCAAAATTAATGATGGGTCCACAAATTTGCAAATCTCCATTATCAGAAGGGTTTTCCAGGGGAAATTGCAGGATGATATTGGAGAGAACAATGACGAGAAGGGTGAACGAGTGAAGGAAAGGAAAGGAAAGTTAGGAGGAGTCAACTAGCGATGCCAGCTTATGAAATATTATGATTTGGAAACGGATTTCCTTCCATGGCCAATTCTTCAAGTTTTAGAGTTCCATTAATGAATCCGGTTGACAAGTCGTACACCTACTATAGAGACCAAGGAGGGAAAGACAGTTTGTTTTGAGGATGAAACATTAAAGGAGGGAGACTTAACATAAGCTTGCAGAAGATTTCATCAGGAACATCCACAACCAGCTGAAAAACAGCAGGAATAGTAAGTCGTTGGAAAATATTTGGGAATAGATTGCTTGGGGACTTGAATTATGTTTTTATGATTCTCGGTTTTAATGCCATATGAAACAATCTCATGACATTTAACCATTATTTGTTTCATGTTTAGTGTCGATCTTTTACACACTCTTGTTCCAACCCTGAGTAAGCGAGGTCCATTTCACTTTGTTCAACCGTTACTTTAGTATTTCTACCTTCCCATTCACTGACTATCAGTAGTGAACTAATTAAGGATACAATCGCATTCATAAATATAGTATGCTTCCAGACATATCACTGTAAAGGCAAGACGATATCAAAAAGTTACCTTCAGTATCATTACAAAANTAAGCGAGGTCCATTTCACTTTGTTCAACCGTTACTTTAGTATTTCTACCTTCCCAGTCACTGACTATCAGTAGTGAACTAATTAAGGATACAATCGCATTCATAATTATAGTATGCTTCCAGACGNCTGACTATCAGTAGTGAACTAATTAAGGATACAATCGCATTCATAAATATAGTATGCTTCCAGACATATCACTGTAAAGGCAAGACGATATCAAAAAGTTACCTTCAGTATCATTACAAAATTCCTATAAAAATAAAAATGAGATTACAACTCAATTTGGTAAGATTACGACAAAATGAGTTTATTAGGTATAGCCTAATACTTTAGGACTGGTCCAAATTTTTTTAGCTACAATTTATCCCCAAACGAATTGTAGCTAGTTTCTCAATAATCATAACTTCTGATGCAGTGCCTCCTTGATCACCATAATCTTCCTCAGAATTGCAATGGCCATAATAAGTTATTTCCTAAGGCTATCTTATTTATATTATATTGACAAATGACAAACAGCACAAGCAGGTTATAGATAAGAAATTTGGCTAATAGCACAAAGCTATAATTAAATGTTCATTATAACCTATTCATATTCACAAGGATGTCCAAGACTACAAACTAATATGATCCCAAAAGGAAGACATTTACCTCTCTGGATCCAAATGACAAAAATTTACAACTCTAGAAGCTATCTCCTCCCTCTTCATGAATGAATGGAAATTGCCTTGTAATTCTATTGCCAAAATAATCAACTAGTTCACCCTCTCCTTGTAAATGCATGTTTACCATTCCATGGTTGCAAATGCCATTGGTTCCCAAATCGAACATTGTGCAAGAGTTGCCAATGGAGATCCAATACCATTCCGTTCTCTATCAATTTCAAACATTGGCACGGTTCTAGCCACCATTTTCAATCTCCTCAAGCCTCACCATCAGCAAACCCTTTGTATGTGAGTATTGCCCAATCATTGACGGATCACTGTTGATTCAGTCTCCAATAAAAAGTATCAACAGAAAGTAAAACGAGAATTAATGCAGCTATAAGGTTCAAAAGGTGGAGAAACCAATGTTGATTAACTGCAACTGCTGATCTGGAATGTGAAAATACTGTCATCACCAATTGAAGAGGACGGAGCATTTTCAGTCAGTAAACATGAGTAACATAATTGCAAAATTTCATGCTTGAAGCACCTGACAGTGCACAATATGACTCTTTAATCCACTTCGGCCAGCAATACTTGACCATATATTTGTGAAAAGAGTCCTGAAGTGACCTTTCCCAGCAATATTTTCCCAAAGGTGAGGATTACTCTCCACTTGTTTATCAGGACTTGAGACATCAACCAGACTGATGCTCATGTTGTTACGAATAATGCAGAGCTTTCCATTAAGGGTAACAAGAGCAGCAGCTTCCAGAGCTCGAGAGCTCCCTAGATGGAGCTTGCTGTCAATAAATCTGTTCCACGTATTTGTGGCTTCATCATAAACCCTAAGCTTGCATCCATCACGGCAATCCAAGGCATAGAGTTTCCCATTCATAGAGATGCTTGGGTTGCGCCAACCAGCAACCATCCCATTGTTGATTGGCGTCCATGTATTGGTTTCAGGGTTATAGGCTTCACTCAGGACCTCCCGGTGGGTCCCAAGTCCTTTTAGAAACCACTTTTCCTCATAAACTACCCCGATAAAGGGCACCATAGCTGTGCTCATGTCAGCAATAAAGCTCCAGCGATTCCTGTTGGGGTCATAAACTTCAGCTGAACGGAGTGTTCTTTGGATTCCTTCACATTCTCCACCGGCCACATAAAGGCAGTTATTTATAACACAAGAACCAAAGAAATGTCGTTTTCGAAGCATATCTGGTGCCCTGTGCCATTTGTTTGTCCGAGCACTGTAGAAAATGACCCGTCTCATAGACCCCTTAAGTGGATCTTTTCCTCCGAATAAGTATAAGTGGCAACCACTTAGAACAGCACAGCCAAATCCTAGGGCTTCACCATACTCTCTGGGAACTGGTGGAAGGGGCTGCCAGAGCTGGTATGTTGGATCAAAAGCATGCCATGAAATCCTTCCATCACGGTCTCTTTTAACGACATAAACCCACTCTTCCGCCATTCCTAGACTTTTTCTAAGAGAATAAAAGTAGTTACCAGCCAAAAGCCGGGACCACCTCTTGCAAACTAGACGAAGCTTAGTGTGCTCAACACGAGGAACACGGATCAGACAAGCAATAGCAAGATCATCAGGAAGTCCAGGCAGTAGAGGTGGCTGAACTCTGGTCCTCTCCCGGCGGGAGTTCTTAGTCTTGTGTGCATGAGGATTGATATCAGGCTGGATGCAAAGTTTCGATCCCGGGACAAATTTTCTTGCCCCTGCAACTGTTTTTAAGCTGGCATCAACTTTGCAATAGCATGAAACAGAATCAACCTGCAAAATTCTCCATGTTAGAATGCTATCATGGTCACTCACCTAAAATTATAATAAAAGTAAGGAAAACAAACATGAGACGATATAGCTACATCACTCAATCATATCATAGGATGAAGATCGATCAGAAGCAAAAGGGAAATACAAAGGAAAAGGATGACAAATTTTCCATAATTTAACAGGGCGGAAAGTGCTTGAGAAGGAAAGAAACAGAAGCAGGACATGTTCTCTCTGGATTCACCTTATTCTCAGTCACAAACTGGACTGAAAGGGGGAGGAAACAGATTAAACCACTTCTTTCACAATTTTATCTATGTAAGGATAAAATAGTAAAATCAAGCAAAATTCTTGTCATCCATCATCCAAAGGAATAAGTAGCTTTCCAAGGGAATGGAATCACTTGTCATACTAAAATAGAACATATAATGACCTAAGAAATATTTCCCATACTCTGCTCATAGAATGACCACGCCAATACATCCTTAGCATCTTCACCTCAATTCATCCTCATTCCCCCCACTTTCACATGAACTATAAAGGTGCTCCACAAGGGTACCTCCAACCCAATCTCCCAATGGAAACAAACTTTCTAGAATGTGGGAGTGCAAACCACCCTAAACTTTGAGAATGGCACTGTATCTGCTACCAACACTTCATCATTCAAGGAAATTCTGCTACAAATTTGGGAGATTCTAGTCTCAACTCCACTACCCGACACCAAACATGCTGTTAGCATCTAATCGTTTGACCATTCCAACCATGAAGATAAAAATTGGGGTAGTCAAAGATTATACCCTTCAATAGTCATCCCCAACATAGGCACTCACATCACCAGGAGACCAACCACCTTCAATCCATGCTTACTATTCACTATTCACCATCCTCTTCCAAAATATCTTCCCCTCCACTGCACACGTACAAAAGTACTTTTCTCAACAAGCCCCTGGTTAAAGAGCCCTAACAAAGGACTGTTGCTTCTGATCCACTTACATAAGATCAGAAAATCTTCATCTAAACTCGCAACTACTGAAGCAAACACACAAAACACAGATATTCAACAACAAAGNCCTGGTTAAAGAGCCCTAACAAAGGACTGTTGCTTCTGATCCACTTACATAAGATCAAAAAATCTTCATCTAAACTCGCAACTACTGAAGCAAACACACAAAACACAGATATTCAACAACAAGAAAGAAAAGAAAAGAATGATTAGGACAAGATTCCAAAAGACACAAAACTATAGTCAATTCTATCAAGGTTCATAAAAAACCTGCACAGCACACTTGGAAATAGAGATTAAATGCTGTAATTAGCAAAAATGAGAGTTGCCATATAAACATGCAGAAAGAAGTTAATGTCTGCTGAAACCGGGTAAATCACAAAGAGCATCTGTTAAAAAGTTCCCATGTCCAAGAAATTTAATCAACGGAAATACTAATTTACACGTTCAATGTGGACTAAAGCCGCTCACATAAAAGATGAAAAGTGGAGCCAAGAAGGATGGCTGATAATTAATTAAGAAGAAAACAAAGAAACAACCACAAAGGCTCTACTCAAAATGGAAATACCCCCTCCACTAGAACATAAGAATAACAACTTTAAATCAAAACAAAAACTAAACACCTGGTGGTTCTACAAAAGTAGAAGCAGGGGCAGCCCAATACTATTCAGGGCCTAGGCAAAAATTATAAATGAGGTCTTTTTAAAATTTAATATTAGTATATAAGTAATACAACTAAAATTTTGTTTAAAATTTAAAATTTTTATTTTTGAGATGTAAAATTACTAATTAACTTTCCACACTTGAATTTTATTATTACAACATTTTGAATATATAGTATGACTTACTTAATATTTTTGTGACAGAGTTCATCACAAATAGGAATAGTTTTAATTTTAAAAAAAAAAAAAATTTTGCAAGAGCAATTAATATGTGTATTCTCAATATTATTGTATAAGCAATACATATATTAGGGGGAACAAAAAAACGAAGAAGCCTAATGCACCAAAAAAGGAAAAGAAAAGCATAAGTATAGTCTTTCTATACGGTTTAATATTTTGCTTGAAGAATTAGCGTTTGTTTGTAAAACCTTTTACATTTTTAGCTCAACAATAAATGCAACTTATGAATATAAAAAAAAAAATTAATCGCATTTTACAAACTTCTCAAGATTTTCATAATATGCATTTAAGGTTGTGAGTTAGCATCTAAGAAGCACAGATACGGACATGAGAATACGGCAAAATTTTAAAATATAGGATACGGGATCAGCGAGGATACGACTAATTAAAATAATTATATATTTTTTTATATATATAACAACAACATTAATAGCAAAACCCAGATAACAAAACCCATCTTCTCTAAATAATAAATAAATGACTGCAATAAAAATTCAAATAACAAAACCCAAAAAAAAAAGATTTATCTAAACCTAAATACCAAAATCATTAAAGTAACAAAACCCTCCAAAAAAAATAAGAAAACAAACCTGGAGTCCTCTTCTCTCTCTCTTTCTCAAACAAACACCAAGCAGCAACACCGTGCAGCAGCAAGGATGTTTGTTCGAGTTTAATCGTAGTACAACAAGCACCAAAACTAAAGAGGGATTCACAATACAACATATCTTATTCTTCTTCTCCTTGTGGCATAGCAGATCTGGTGGAGAGATTCGAGTTCAATCGAAGGCTTTTGGTTGTCGAAGTAGATCTAGTGGAGTCCTCTACTCTCTCTCTCTTGCGAATATAGACTGCTCTGCCGAGAACAATAGGTCGGTTCTTCTTTTTCTATTTTTGTTTTAACCCCTCAATTTTGTAAAATAATAAATGGAACCCCGTAGTATCCCCACGTATCCGGGACGTATCCGGTCGTGAAAAAGGCTTCTCCACTATTCAAGATACTTTTGCAAGTATCAAACATATCAAACTGTCGGACACGCATAGTGTTATTTAAGGCATAAAACGAATCGAAGTGAACCGATCTCCTAAGAGCCTATCAAGAAGCGAAGCCAGCACATCATCAAAGCAAAGTGAATAATATAAAATATGAGCAAATATTTCAGTTTAATACTTTGATTACTCCAAAATATTCAAGTTTTAATTTTACAAAAACAAAATATTTAAAATCCAACCAAAATAATAAACATCAACATATTTTAAATAGACAAGATATTAAATATTGAACATTATTGTATTCTAAAAATAATCAATTGACATAATCACGTCATCTAAATGTAAAGCTAACAAATATGGGTTTGATTTCTACCGTAATTGATTAATATTACCACTAAACAAACCACTCACAAATTGATTAATCAAATAAAGCATATAACAAATTGATTAATCAATACAAGAGCATTCACATCAAAACAAAGCATTCAACATCATCTAATCATAATAAGACAGATTCTCATATGATATTGTTAGATGAATCAATCAATTTATTTTATATATACACACATATAACATTATACTTGCAAGGGTTTGGTTAATGTTAAGAAAGAAGGAGAGGAGGAGGGGGGAGAGAAGGAGGAAATAAAAACACTGCAGTTAAGCGTTCATTTTTCTCGCCTGACTCGCTTCTTTGCTTCGTTGTCTAAGCTCGTCTTTTCTTCACGTCACCTGGGATGTTCAAAGTGACCAAGGCTCACTTCACGCCTAGACACTCACCTAGACTTGCTTTTCACAACATTACGTATATCCGTGTCTAATACGGGTACGACACTGCCACNTAAGAAGCACAGATACGGACATGAGAATACGGCAAAATTTTAAAATATAGGATACGGGATCAGCGAGGATACGACTAATTAAAATAATTATATATTTTTTTATATATATAACAACATTAATAGCAAAACCCAGATAACAAAACCCATCTTCTCTAAACAATAAATAAATGACTGCAATAAAAATTCAGATAACAAAACCCAAAAAAAAAAAGATTTATCTAAACCTAAATACCAAAATCATTAAAGTAACAAAACCCTCCAAAAAAAAATAAGAAAACAAACCTGGAGTCCTCTTCTCTCTCTCTTTCTCAAACAAACACCAAGCAGCAACACCGTTCAGCAGCAAGGCNAAACCTGGAGTCCTCTTCTCTCTCTCTTTCTCAAACAAACACCAAGCAGCAACACCGTGCAGCAGCAAGGATGTTTGTTCGAGTTTAATCGTAGTACAACAAGCACCAAAACTAAAGAGGGATTCACAATACAACATATCTTATTCTTCTTCTCCTTGTGGCATAGCAGATCTGGTGGAGAGATTCGAGTTCAATCGAAGGCTTTTGGTTGTCGAAGTAGATCTAGTGGAGTCCTCTACTCTCTCTCTCTTGCGAATATAGACTGCTCTGCCGAGAACAATAGGTCGGTTCTTCTTTTTCTATTTTCGTTTTAACCCCTCAATTTTGTAAAATAATAAATGGAACCCCGTAGTATCCCCACGTATCCGGGACGTATCCAGTCGTGAAAAAGGCTTCTCCACTATTCAAGATACTTTTGCAAGTATCAAACATATCAAACTATCGGACACGCGTAGTGTTATTTAAGGCATAAAATGAATCGAAGTGAACCGATCTCCTAAGAGCCTATCAAGAAGCGAAGCCAGCACATCATCAAAGCAAAGTGAATAATATAAAAAATGAGCAAATATTTCAGTTTAATACTTTGATTACTCCAAAATATTCAAGTTTTAATTTTACAAAAACAAAATATTTAAAATCCAACCAAAATAATAAACATCAACATATTTTAAATAGACAAGATATTAAATATTGAACATTATTGTATTCTAAAAATAATCAATTGACATAATCACGTCATCTAAATGTAAAGCTAACAAATATGGGTTTGATTTCTACCGTAATTGATTAATATTACCACTAAACAAACCACTCACAAATTGATTAATCAAATAAAGCATATAACAAATTGATTAATCAATACAAGAGCATTCACATCAAAACAAAGCATTCAACATCATCTAATCATAATAAGACAGATTGTCATATGATATTGTTAGATGAATCAATCAATTTATTTTATATATATACACATATAACATTATATTTGCAAGGGTTTGGTTGAGGAGGGGGGAGAGAAGGAGGAAATAAAAACACTGCAGTTAAGCGTTCATTTTTCTCGCCTGGCTCGCTTCTTTGCTTCGTTGTCTAAGCTCGTCTTTTCTTCACGTCACCTGGGATATTCAAAGTGACCAAGGCTCACTTCTCGCCTAGACACTCACCTAGACTTGCTTTTCACAACATTACGTATATCCGTGTCTAATACGGGTACGACACTGCCATGGCGACCCCCCCACCCCTCTCAAGTATCCATCTTTCTTAGGTTAGCATATAAAAATTACATACATTACTTGAAAAAAATGTTGTTGAGACCTAAAAATTTGAAATAATTTGTTAACTTAGTAATGTGACAATTGGTATGACTCAATAATATTATTCTAGTTGCAATTGTGTTGAACTTCTTTTTAACGAGACCTTATGACTTGACATATCATTAGATTGTCAAATTAGATCTCAACAATATTCTCATAAGTCCANGTATTAAATATAATTATAATGGGTATTAAATATAATTATAGTAGGGTATTAAGTGTAATTATTTATTCTTATAACAAAAAAATTATAAAAGACAGAAGAGCAGTGGGAATTAAATGTAATTATAGTGGGATATTAAATATAATTATAGTGAGTATTAAATGTAATTACAGTGGGTATTAAATGTAATTATAATGGGGTATTAAATGTAATTATTCATAATGAACCGAATATATCACTGTTTTGTCGAAATGGTTCGAAACAATGCCGTTTCGACCGAAACGGTCCGAAATAGTACCGTTTCGACCGAAACACTGGAATTTTGTGATTCAACTACTGTTTCGTTTCGGAGTGTTGAAATTCCGAAACGTTTCGGACGTTTCGGACGTGTCGACACGACATTTTGATCCTTGCTTATAACAAATTTGCCACACTCACAACGTATGAAACCAATCCTATCCAGCACAGCTGGGTTTCCTTGATGCTCACTACAAAAAACATCAAAGTTCCTAAGCTACAATAGACGTCGATAGAAAAAAAAAAACTGGTATTAAAATACAAAATGTAAGCTTTAGAAGCAAATCCTTTATTATTACATTAAATTTCTATTAACAAAAAAAATAAACTTTCCCTTGACAAAAAACACCATAATAAGAAGTTCTAACTGATGAAATTGGAGAATAAAGATTACGAAGAAGACAAGAAAGAGAAAGAATTAAGAAGCTAAAGAGAAAAGAAAGAAATTAAGGAGAAATCAGAATTAATATTGAATTAATTCAAGCCAACCAAAACAATTACATCAATCCCAACATGTAAGGGAATATCAAAGATCCTCATATGACTCTGTTAAATAAGAAATAAAGTCCAATAAATCTAAGATAATAAGCACTATTATCACAGAATTTCTGAATTATAACCTTCACTTCCAATCCTCATACGACTCCTTTTCCGATCCCCGTCATAGACTTCTAAATTCTAATCCTCAATTCCAATCCTCTCCGTCTCCTTTCCAATTCCCCATCACCAACTCAATAATTTTTGGTGGGCAATAGAACATTAATTCAATCATATAAGGTCGAGGTTTCAAATAGGTGCAGTCTCTCCAAAATTGTCACAAAATACACTGTATACTCAATTCCCAACTCCTTAAACTGCATAAATAAAATGCTGATGATTCAAAAACCCGGAAACGAAGAACTCCTAACATCGAGTTCAGTACGCTCACTTATCAAAGAAAAAAAAACAGTGCGCCCAAGCACATTTGCATGAAACAAGAGCCAAAGGATTGTCAATTACATGAACTCATCACATTCCTAGAGAAGTCCAAAAATTCGCATTAAACAACAATTTCACCAGGCATCTCCCGAAATTCATGAAAAAAAAAAAACCAAAAACAATTTCAGAAAACAAAATCCACAGCACATGCTAATGGAGTAACAAGAATTCTTTCAAAGATTGCACATTAACCAAGAAATTTGATCTGTAGAAACGAAAGAATTGAATAAATTAACAGCAAAAAAAGGTCAAAGATCCCGTGGGCTTACCAGTGGAGCTTGAACTCGAAAACCCCTCGGCGCATTTGGAGACCGTTCAATTGTTTGGTCCATCTCACAATTACAGTTTCATACACAAAATTCAGGTTAGACCAGAATCAAAATCAAGGTTAAACAAGCTTCAAAGACCTGGATCAAGAGCTTTTCAGGCTTCAAGCTTAAAATCTGATCCAAAAAATGAATAAATGAAACTAAATTTAAATAAGATAAAGAAAGCCAAACACAAAAAAGAACTTTTAGCTGCCCTTTTTAATCTCTGCAAATGCAAACAAGAAACAAACAGCAAATAGTGCTTGAAGTTAGAACTACAGCAGCTTCAGAACGTGAGGGGCATCTCCCTCAGACTCTCTCTCTCTTCCAAACACACAGTGACCCCTCTCTCTCTCTGTCTCTCTGAAGAGACCATAGACTAACTGAAGATTACAGCTGGACCCATTATCTTCACCAACTTCTAATTTTCTTTAGAGATCTGATTATTAATATACTATTACTATAATATCTTGTAATCTGTGAAAATTAATTTCAACTCTTACCACCAGACAAGAAGCTTATCAGATTTTTTAATTACAGCATTAATTAATGGGTCAAACCTTTTGTTTGGGCAGAGAGAGAGAGAGAGAGAGAGGGAGGGGGGACTATGACAGGGAGTCTACACCAAAACAACTGTGTAAAATTCACACCGAATGAGTTTAGNAGAGAGAGAGAGAGAGAGAGAGGGAGGGGGGACTATGACAGGGAGTCTACACCAACACAACTGTGTAAAATTCACACCGAATGAGTTTAAACGAAATAACATAGCGACCCCTAATATTTAGAAAAAGATATAACCATCTCTATTGGCGTTAATTATTCCCCCTATTTGACTTGTCAAAACTACACAAACTATGGTAG